AAACTTCCTCCAATTAAATCTCCTCTGATGGTTGCGTCAATGTGCCCAAGCTTGCTCTCCAATTAATTGTCATTTGGGCCCACCAAATATTAGCACTTTAACAATTGGGCCATTAAACACAATTAGCACACATGGGCCTAAATTGGGCTTGTGTGGGGCACTGTTAGGTCAGTACGGGACACCTCCGTACTGCTCTTGATGAAATTTCTTTCAATGTCACGTCGCCAGTTAAAATCCTCCAATATCCTAAAAGTAAAACATAAAAATATCAAAGCACAAGAATCCATCCAAGAAAATAAATAAGTCAATAAATATATAAATGCGATAAAATTAAGCATATAAAAATACGTTAATAAACATGGATATAGACACTTTTTCCGACCAATCAAATCTCCCCAAACTTAAACCGTTGATTGTCCCCAAGCACCTTAGAACTATGAACACATAGATGGATATAAACATGTACGTGGAACTTTACTCAGGGCCTCACAATTCTCACATAAGTGCATAGTTCAAACAACTCAAATCAATTTATCCGGACTCAAGACGAATTTATTTAAAGAACGCAAACACATCAAGTATCAATCCAAGTGACCACCATAGTTTGTCAATCTCTATAACGAATGCACCGATTAATGAAGCTAATGACACCCCTCTCTTTGCTAACAAGTCTAGTTTCTTTCCGTATCTAGCCGAAGTCTAAATGTCTCTTTCTCCATTTTTTTTTTCTATCTTTTTTTTTTTTTTTTTTTTTTAAGTAGGGAACGGCAGCTCTGTCACAACCCATGGGTTTTAGCCTTTCGTGCTTGTCTATATACGAAAATTATTGGAATTATACACTTGAGCCCCCACAGATTGGCAGCTGTCGCGAGTACGTGCCGGAGGGTAGACATGTTGAGTTCACCATCGATTTAGTCCCCCGAGCCGGTCCAGTCTCGAAGGCACCCTATAGAATGGCACGGAAGGAGCTGCAAGAGTTCAAGACGCAAATCCTGGAGCAGTTGAACCTTGTTTCATCTGACCGAGTGTTTCACTCACCGGTTTGATGAATTTTCTAGCTTAAGGTTCATGAATTATAATTTCTTAGATATTGGAACTCTCGACTCAAGGCATTTTTAAAGCTCGGATAAAGATTTTTAACACTTAAATTTGAGACTCGACTTAAAAAAATCAGTTCAAGGATCAAAATTCTCAATATTTTAATAATGGCCCGAGACATTAACGGCTCGGCTCAATCTGGTGCAGCTGGCTACTGATGGGGTCTAACCGCGGCTGGCATTGGCCACCTGGGCACGGGTACTGCAGGTCACCCGCGGGCGCTCCCCAACTCGCTACTGCCCGGTGTTGCATAGTGCTGCGGCTGGCCTCGCACGTCTGCACGCGGAGGGTCTGCTCAATGCTAGGCTCGGGCGTGCATGCTTGCACGGTGGTTGCACGCACTCTACACTGCAGGGCTGGTCACTATCACACGAGCAGCTGCGCACACGCTGGCACTACTAGAAGCGGGGTGCTTAGACGCGCGCGCGCGCTTGCTCGGAGACGGCTGCTGGTCTGGGTTCTCGGGACGCTGGGTGTTGGACACTGGGATGCTCTATGTTGCCACGGAGTCGCGAGAAATCGTGCACGCTCGGGTGCTGGTAGCTGCGGTGCCATGCGAGACGTCTGCCACATTGGATCGCAGCACGCCGCGCATTCCACGCCTCCACGCGAAGCGCCTGCGAGCGTGTGCGGCCAGCGCTCAGCAGCAACCGTGAGCTGCTGTTGCTCGACACATGCAACATCTGGGTCCGACAATTTTCCCGACATACAACTAGCATCTTACGACCAGATTAAAAAAGGATTTTTAGATAAAAATTTGTAAATTTTAAAAGGAGATTTTTTGCTAAAAACTAGGGCTCAAAAATCAAATTTTTCGAAACAATTTCGAAGCATTTTTTCAACAATTAGGTTTTTGAAGACCATTTCTCAACCATTTTTTAGAGGTAAGAACACACCATTTCAGAGGCTGAAAATTCCAAACTAATGGATTTAAAATGCTTGGATGTTCAAGGCTAAAACTCAAGGCAATCAAAACTAATTTTCCACAAAACTTCAAGACTATCTCAAGGCTTCTTTAACACAAAAAATCCAAATCGAGTCAGAGGCTAAGGTGTTTAAAAAAATATTCGAGCAACAAGGTAGAATCAGATAGTCCGATATCAAATTTCAACTCTTCACAACTCTTGGAATTTCTCATAATTCCAAAGATCTAAGTTATTTGAACCTTAAGAATAATTTTTATTCTTCAAATTAACTCTAGAATAAGAAGAATGGGTGAGGATCCAATACCTACTTCTTAAATCTACATGTTAAGGGTTGAAGGAGACGGGCCTAAGGTCTCGGGCACGCATGTGGCCTTGGGCGGACGGCTTTCGGTCTCCTCGAATCCTCCTCGGCATAGGTTCCTCCTTGGAACTCCTGGATCTCCTTGACCGGCGTGGAGGAGGACAGGGGCTATTGCTCGCTGTCTTCCCGGCGGTGGCAAGGTGCTGCAGCTGACAGTCTCGGGTGCGCTCGCGCGTGGTTGCAGCTAGCGATTGGGGGCTTGCGAGCGCCGACGACGAGAGATGGCTAAGGGCTGCCTTTGGATGAATTTTGGTGGAAAAAGAGAGGATTTTTTAGGTCTAAGGGTGCTCTGGTGCTGCTGCTACCAGGCCCTCGGCTGTGCTTGTGCGATGGCTCCCGACGAGGGCGGTGCGTGCGCTTATGGTGGCTAGGCGCGACAGCGAGAAAAGGAATGGTTTTTGGGGAATTTTTAGAGGACTTCTTGAGAATCTACATCGATGAGATGAACAGAGAAGCCTCTTCGTCCCATGTGGCTTGGCAAGTTTTGTTCTTCCTTTTCAAGTTTGGACAATCAGCCTAATAGTGACTAAATCCTTTGCACTCTCGACATTGATCTTTCTCAACACCCTGGTTTTGATTTTGTTCTCCAGAGCTTGCATGTTCGAACGTCGCTCAGCAGACTTCTGAAAGGTGTTCTTGTTTCAGTCAAATTACTTCTTCCCTTGAAACTTTTTCTTCTGAATCTTCAGTAGGGAAAAGTTGTGTGTAAGAACACATAAGGCCTAGGCAATGCCCTCAACATCAAGAGCCATTTTGTCAGAGTCTTCATTATTTGCAGTCGATGTTTGAACATCGGCTTTCAGGGCGATGTCTTTGCTCTTCACATTATCAAAGCCACAATCGATCACAAAAGTGCGCAAATCTCCAAGTAGATCATCTATCCCTAGAGTTTGGATTCGAGTGAAGCTTTCAAATGCATTGATCTTTTCATGGAACCTTTTTGAAAGAGTTTTCATAAGTTTTTGCACTCATCTTGCCTCTGAGACTTGTTCACCAAGCATAGCGTTTTGGTTTAAGAGATCATAGAAGTGAGCATAGTACATATTTATTTTCTCATCTTCTTTCATCCTAATTTCATCAAATTTTGTTGTAATTCTTTGTAGCTTAGAGGACTTCACTGCATTGGTCCCTTCGAACTACCTCTCGAGAATTATCCAAGCATCTCGTGCGCTGGAACACTTAATGATCATCTTGTGATGAGTAGGGTCTACCTCAGACATTATTGCATAGAGAGCATGAAAATTATCTTATCTTCTTTTCCTTGGTTTTCATTGTCAGTCCAGAGGCCAACTTGAGAATGGTTGTGTCGGTTGAAGAGGATTCCTTCTTTTCTGGAAGAGATTTCTCCATCATGTCGGTCACAATAATTTGCCTATTGTCTCTACCTAAAGATCGCAAGAAGATCGTCATCATGAATTTTCAATATGAGTAATTGGATCCATCACAGTAATACGGACGTGAAATCGACAGGATGTCGTTGCTAATGGTGTCTGACCAAAGGACCTTGGATCTTTATCTTATAATTAGAACAGGAACACTGTTGTGGTGCCAATTGAAACGTATATTGAGAGTAAAAAGAGTGTGCAAGTGTGTTCGAACACCAAAAGTAAAAGCAGAAGCAATTAATTTAAAAAATCTCTTTAGGGAGCATCTCACTACCCCTCAGAGCTGTTTCATTAATAGCTCGGTTTGCGTGCACAAAGTACAGCTTGGACTTGTACGACTTGAACTCCCTTCTAGTCTTGCCCACACTATACCCGAATCTATTCACTAATCCTCTGGTCACGAATTGGTCGACTTATAACTAGCTAAGGATCCCTCCTAGCTATACTAGTACTTGATCCCTAAGTACGAAAAGTGTTTGTACAATAAGAAAATAAAACACAGTTCTTCAGTGGTGTAAGAACACTGAAAAACTGTTTACATTAAACTCAAAAATAATTTCTTACAGACACTCAACAGAAGTCTTCGAATATGATGAACTCCGATAAAATGCAACAGCATTCAATTGAGTATTTGTGTAGATATACATACAGTCTCCTCAAGGCAAGAAATCTTCACATTCCTTCCTTTTGGAGTGGATTTCCTTCCCTCATTTATCTTTGAAATATGGCTGAGATATTCATAAGTGGAAGTCGATATCTTCAAGTCCATTGAGTCTCGATCGGTTTCCTCTTTCCTTGAATGTAAGATTTCCTACAAAACAAAAACAATCATTATAAAAATAACATCTTCCCATAAAACCTCGTCATACTAAAAATAATACTCCCTCCTATTTTTATTATTTGTCGTTTTGAAAAGCAACACATAATTAAGAAATTTTTTCTTGCCAATATTAATCATATTTAATGGATGTTATGGGAAAATATGGAAATGGGGATATGAAGAGACACTATGTATTAAATTGAGGGTTAAAAATGGAAAAATATAAACAAAATAGTCATCACGACATTTATTTAATCAATGATCAATTAAGCCAGAGTGACAAATAATGAAAATATGAGACAGTAAAATCTATACTTAATAAATAAGAGAGAGAGATAGAGAGAAAGAGAAAATGTAGATATTTCTTTCTTTCTTTTTTTTTCGTGCCTGCATAGAACATCAAGATGTTATTTTTGGAACTTCTTGCCAAACTAAAATCTAAAAAGAAATCTTGCAAAAAATAAATCTTACAGGTTAAGATCTCAGTAAATTCGGGTAAGATCTCTCCAAAATATGCACACGGTTTCCCTTGTTTTATCTGGATCCTCTTTCATTAAGAAGTCTTATTCACTCTGTTAGATCAAGCATGATCAAGTCAACTGAACATCACAACTCGAGCTGTGATATTCTAAAACACCAAGCTCCGCCCAATTGAACAAACTTTCAAGCCGACCTGATGTGCATATCACATATAACATGGTCCAAGTAAAGAGGAATGCTTTATCATCAACGTAATTATAATATAATTTCCATTTGCAAAACATAGAACAAAACTTACATACATGATGTACCCTACCTACATGCATGTTGTAATTGGCAGACAAATTATGCTAATAGTAATATTCTCTTAGGACAACTCATTTGATACATTAATTGGATTAGTGGAAAGTTTAATTTAATGCACGCAACAAAACACACCACGTACGAAGTTGGATTCTCATAAATGTACTTCCAAAATCCGAATTTAATTAATAAATGTGAACAAAAAGGAATTTTTTTTTTAGCTATACACCATCAAACACTATCGCGTAAATCATATTCATCAATATCCATGAAAAATAAAAAAATGATACCGTCTTTTTATTTTGTTTGGGTTCCTTGAGGATTCCTGGAAATGACTAAATGGGGTTTCCAAATTGAGTGCAAAACATCTGCAAAATCTAAAGGCTATAAGTACTTTGTGCTAATTGTGGAACAACATTTGCCTGCCATGGAAAAGGCATAAAGCTAACTAGTGTGGGCGAGTTGTGAGATTCCTCCTGTGATGGGACTCAAAAAGGATAAGAAGAAAGTGAAGATGATGTTAATGAACCATTTTTTCCCTTATTTTCATTTTTTCTTTTTTCTTTTTTTTTGNCCAAATTATTTAAGAACATTTCAAGTGAGAGATATTTTTTTTTTCTTTTCTCATCATCATCAGTGGGTAGGACGTGGCTCCGGCGGCTGCGGCGTTTTCGCGTCAGGGCGGTTGGAGTGAGAAACCGAGCCGCTCTCACCCCTACGATTCTTTGATGTTGGGGACGGCGGGGGATCTGGTGCTTCCGGACTCGACTAGTGGTGTTAGACGTGTCCGGTTGGTGCTGGAGTGGGGAGCCGGCTTCTTGTTTCTCCGGTTGGAGGCAGGTCTTTTCGGCAGTTCCAGAAACGGTTCTCTGGGATTCTGATTTTTCCTTGGAGTCGACTGTTACTCTGTTGGTTCGGCTCGGTTGATCTGCTGTGGAAGGGCTCCCTTTTCGTTTAGTTTTGTTTTTGTATGGCTTTAGTTTGTTGTTGGTTAGGATTTGTGTTTTTGGTTCAGGTCGTTGACCTCTGTGAATCCGAGTGTGAGTGTATTATCCTGTTGGGATCGCACACTCGGGCATTATCCTGTTGGAATCTTTTTTAGTAGTTTTTTTTAGCTTTTTTTGTGTTGTTGCGAGTTTGTTATTCTAGCGTTGCTAGGTCAGGCTTTAGGGGATCTTCGGATCTGTCCTTTCAGTCTTTTTAGTCTTTGGTTGTACTTTTCAGCTTTTGACTGTTTCTCTTTGCACTTTGTGCGGTCTTTACTTATATAGTATCTCTATCGTTTAGGAAAAAAAATGAGTGGAAATAATAATTTCAACTGCATATTCCAACGAAAATTAAATAACCGCTAGAATTATCAAATTTCATCTAAAATTTTAATGGAATACACATTTCAATTCCAATGGAATATTTTCATTGCAATGATTCCAATGGAATAGCCATTGAAGTATATGTTGGAATTTTCATTGGAATAATTTACCGTAGGATTTTTCGTTGTAATCTATATATCTCTCTATATCTATATAAATATAATTACTAGCTAATAGAATTTAATAAAACCTATTTAATTTTACCTATGTGGCAATTTAACAATTTTCCCTCCAAAAACAGTTACATTTTGATGTATTTAATCTTTCATTTAATCATTAAATAATTAATACTCATCACTTCAAAATTACAAAAATCATTTTAAACTTTTGATTAATGACAGTTGACCATATAATGTGTTGACCGTATAATGTGATTAGATGTTATTATTGTTGTTACATTTAAATTTTTTTTTTTTTTAAAATAAAAAATATATTTGAAATTCCTAAATAAATAATAAATAATTCACAAATAAAAGACGTACCAAAATATACATTACATCCAATCAGATAAACGCAATTTAAAAAAAAAATATTCCAACCCTTTTAATTGTAAATTTGGTCTGAAAAAAGTGAAAGAAAAATAATTAATCATTATATGTATAGACTCACAATAATTTATTTATATCTGTGCAAATGTACAGGTCGAATACTAGTATATATATAATTGTAAACTATTACATTAATGCGATAGTCTACATTATCCAGACTAAACTCATTCCGCTTAATATAGTAAGTTTTTAATTCTTTTATTTTGTATTTATATCTTTAATTTTGTAATAAATATTAAAATATTCAATAAAAGTTGTAACGGTTAGGTTTTAGAAACTAATTTAATTGTGTTATTGTTATATTGATAATAGCGATTAATATTATGTTTAGATGTAACCGTTACAGTAGAATATTACATATCTTTTCTTTCAATTGTATATTCATGTTAAATTTTGGACCTCAAATTAAACGTAAACAATTATTGTATCACATAAGCCATATTGTACATGTATTTTATTATATAGTTAAATATTAATATAATTTACACGACAAATCTCTTAAAAAAAATTAATTTGTATGGTATATAAGATTGTCCATTTTAAATTCATATTTTTAGAAAAATTTTGGTAGTACTAATATGATTATTGTTGTAGCACAAATTGTTTTCTTTTTACCGAGTATCGAATCGAATGATTCGTTTCCTAGGTCGATCTCTCAAGGAAAACGGTTCGGAGCTTCGTTTGCAAGTTAGTTGTCCAAAACACAAAAATAGAAAATAAAATCTTAAACACTCTAATCAAGATAGGATTGGTTTTTTATTATCAACTAAGAAATAACAAGAAATATAAATCTATCTAAGAAATATAATGTAACAATTCAAAGAGAGATAAACGAGCTAGGGTATTGGGGATAATCGTTTCCGGTTCTACACACATTTATCGAAAATCCATAACTCGATTAAAAGACTCGACTAATTAACTCATTTAGCGGTTTAACCTCAATAACTCGTCGTAACATGCGGATAAACATAAACGAGCAAATTAACGAAACAATTAATACATAGACAATATGTCTCCGAACATGTCTACTCTAAACGAGCCAAGTTCCACCAATTTCTCTCCTCTCGGTTTTGAAATCAATTAATTCTACGACTCCTCCCCTTTCGATTCTAAAAGTCGTTAATTCGATTAGAAGGTGTTTAATCAACTAATCATGTAGAATCAACAAACTCAAACTTAATAAATCAATATTCAATCATGCCAAATTGAAGTGTCACTCTTCGATTATATCAATAAATTTACCTAAGTGTCACTCTTAGGTTATATCGAATTATCAAGCATGAATTTATCAATTCCTAATTAAAACAATTCGCAAAGATTGAGTTATCGTCATGCACATAAACGAGAACAAACCGGAGTGATTATCCCCTAGCCCTAACTAGAGGATTAGCTTCTCATAGCAATTTCAACACAAACATTCATTTCTCCTAAATTAACCATTTTCCATGAATTAATTCAAAGAGAAAATAAACTTACAATTCAAGCTCCAAGTGTTGAGTTCAAATACAAGCTTCGTCCAAAAGACAAAATGAGGAAAATGAAGAAAAGAAGAAGAATACAAGAAGAAGAAGAGAGGGAGAACCCCTCTATGGAGTTGTGGTTTTCAATCCAAAACCTTGCCCTATATATAGATGTTTTCTCCCTGTTTTCATCCATAAATCCTTCCACAAAACATGCTAAAATGTTCATAGCTCAAAACATGGAGAAAATAGCTCAAAACATGGAGGAAATCATGGTGGCTCAAAACATGGAGAAAAATGTGGGAAAAATCCGAGTGGAGGGGTCCAGCAGGTCCTAGCGCCGCTAAGGGGGGCTGGGCTGCACGAATTTGCGTTTCGGGCTCGTTTGGGCTCGTCCGAACTCGGAATTGAGTTCCGTTTTTTCCTACGCGTCGCTAACGAAGTCTTCTACGCAGTTGTGCTTCAAATACAACTTATTCTTGAAAACTATTCTCCCAAAGATCTTGACTTCAAGTTGGCGGCTTCCGTGCACGACTTCGCATATTGGGCCCGTCCGGACTCGTCCGAACTCGAAATTGAATTCTGCTTTTTCCTACTTGTAGCCAACGAACCCATCTATCTAACGATGGTTTTTCGGCCCATTTTCGAGCTAAATCTATTCCTCACGGGCTTCTGACCTGCACACCAAAACAAGAAGAAAAACGTAGAAAACCGACAAAATATACAAAAAACACATACAGCCAAATTAGAGCAAAACACACAATAAACTATAAAACGAACTAAAAACCAACTAAAAGACCTAAAACATGAGAAAAAGAATAACAAAACAGTAACGAAAACGTAATAAAGATGGTCACAACAATTAATATTAATATAATGCTCAAAGTATATAAAAGTTATATTATTCATTATATTGATACAACAGTTGTCATTAATTTATGTAAAATTCCACATTTATAATATTTTTTCATTAAAGTTTAAAAATTAAGCTAAGATGTATTAATTAATAAATAACTTGTTTAGTTAATGTGAAAATTCAATTATAAATGTGATACATATTATGTAATAACTTTTAATTTTAGTATTCTTTTTACAAAAAATATTGTGTTAATTTTTTTTTTCTTTTTTTGTGTAATTTGTACATGTACACAGAATGAATTACTAGCATGACAATTATTTTTGTAATGCTACATGTTTTATAACTTTAAAATTTTTAAACCAAGTGAATATTGTTATTTGATATTCAAAACTACATGAAAGTGAACCTCCTAACATACTCAAAAGAATGAATTATCGACATAAAATTTTGAAACAACAAAGTCCGGCATACACGTGTTGTATTCTGGTTCTGATCATTCTTAATTTAACATGAAATTCATACTAAAATGTAAATGCATTCTTTCTTCGAGAAACCAGAGAATCCATTTGTGACTAAATTTTATCATTTAAAACCAGAACTTACGTGGTTGGAGTCTAACGTCGCTAAGTTTTATCATTTAAAATAACTTCAAAGTATCAATGTTATTTTAATTTAAATAGTAAAAATATACCATGAGGTGGGCCCATCAGGGCAAGCTATTCGCTAATGACAGTCACTTATCACCATGTGAGGGTCAGTTTGTGTTTGAATCTGAACCCTAATATGCATTCTGCATAATATAATATAAACTTGTGAGTACCCAGGTTTTCAAATAACACAGTAATACTCAAGATTACTACATAACGCTTTCTGCCATACATGAGTGCAACAGGCACAATTAAAAACTAATTTTGTTAAATCTTCAATATTATGGATGCGAGAGTCACTGCAATATCAGGCACCTCACCACCTTAACCTACCATAAATGTGTCACCAGCATTTTCTTCTTCAACTAACGAATTAACCGACTCAAATAGATGCTCTATTTGGAGGGGAGAACGTCTAGCCATGTACTGGAACATCACCTAAAAACACATGCAAAACACCGAGTTATTACATGCTCACCAAAGTTCGAAAAGAATACAGAACCACATTTATGTGAAGTGAATGAAAAGCACCTATAGCAAGCCACGTTAATTATTCCACTACAAATCCTTCACAAGTTTCCTATTGATGGTGGGTTAACACCTAAAACGGCAGACATAACACATGACCGTTTTTACCTACTTACAACAGACATTAGTGGGTTGTTACAACTTTCGAGCCGCTTTTGCTTTGGGAACAAGACACAGAGATCCGTTAGCACTATACGGTGCATATTTGTTTACTCATCTCGGCATTAATCTTTCTGCTTTCAGTTTGTAATCTAGTTTTCTGTTTTTAGTTTAGTTCAACTTGTAAGAACTGAACAATACACTTCAATTCATGGTTTCCGGTGTAATTCAACACTCAGTTTGTAACATTGTTATCATACGCAAATTAAAATGGAGAAAATTATTATTATGGAGTCTTGCTGGAATGGATTGACATGCAGTAAAATGAAACAAAAAAAGAAGTTTAAATCAGCATTCATACCTTCGAGTAACTATCGGCAAAAGCTCGTGAACGATTAGATTTTCCAAGGTACTGTAAATCAGCCCTCTCTAGTTTCCCATTGGCAAAACATAACCCACCTTCACTGGTGGCAAACCGTAAGAGATTGCCGGGCTCAAGTCTTGTCTGAAAATTACAATCCAATAATTAGTTTTTAATATCGATTCTCCAAAATCAGAAAGTTGTATGCACGGTAACTTACTAGATAAACAAATGGTCATGCATTCTTAAATCCATTTGATGATGAGGAGCGTTGAAATCATAAAATTCTTCACAATTTTAAGTTAATAAATATAAGGGTGATTGAAAACCATTCTATCAATATCAACAAAGAAACTGACATTCGATATTTGATGTTAGATTAAGTCATTCGACCGACATATTAACATTGTTGAAAAACTATATGGTCATGTTTGTTTATGAAAATTTTTCAAAAAAATTTCAATATTTTAACTCAACCATTTTTTTTAACTCAACTTTAACTCAACCTCACTATCATTAATATTATTAATATAATTAAATAATATCAATCAATCATTCACACACACCACATCAACCTTAATTTACTATTCATCTACTCACATTATTTTAACTAATCATCACTTCAATCATCTCTCTCCTACTTTTACATCAAATCAATTTTAATTATTTTATTTTAAATATTATTTTAATATACCCACTAACAACTAACCATACCACTTTTTTTAAATTTAACCAAATCAAACTAAAAAATCCAAACAAAATCAAAAATTTTCATAAACAAACATACTCTATAAGGCTGGAGGAGATCAAATTGATGACTCCACCTTTTATTTCTCAAAGATCAATATATGTTCAATAATAAAAGAACCAATTCCAAATTGAGTATATCTAAAAACAATTTATTGCATTCGAATAACTTCAAGTTTTATTAACCAAAAATTATTCTCAATTTTTTTCCTCATTGGATTGTTTGCAAGTTGATTTATGGCAAATATAATGACTAAGGTACAACACTCTGCAAGAACTTGCTGCTACAATAGAATTGACATATGACAAATTAAATTATATTAAATCTTGATGTGGAAAACGTCAAAGGCGGGGTTAGGATACTTGCACTTAGCACTACGGGATGATAAATACGCAAGCTTGGTAGTAAACCTTATTGAATCTCGTGACAAGTGAAAAGGAATGAGTCTTGAGTTACAAAGAGAAACAAAGGACTTTATGGAGTATTTATTTATTTTATGGTCTATTTTATTTTATTAGGATACTTTGGAGAGCATATTATTTTCTGTCTTTCCTCTACTAGGATTGGGATTAGACTGATAATTAAAACATACTGCCAAGTATTATTTTTCTCTACCTTCTTTCTTTTGTTTCTTAGATTTTCTTTTCCTCTTAGGCCTAAAAGCCGCACGCTCAGACATAAAAAATTTCTTCCGTAGTTCTTTTTATTTCGACTGTCTTTATTATTTTCATGATGAATTTTAGTGAGAAGACTACCATGTTTACGAATAGCTAATTACGCTCTCATAGGCTGTTGTCAGGATTTCGCATTGTACGACTATCACAGCTCTAGATTTCTGTAGCAACCAATCTGGAGGGGACGAAGTAGGCTCGACTAAAAGGAAAAGAGAAAAATACTGTCCATACTTCAAAGGAAAAGAAAAATAAACAATTCAAGTAGAAACGATAACCAAAAAAATTATTAGCTTTATTTCATTTACCAAAATGTTAAAAAAGCTCTTGGAATAAGGGGATTACTAGTTTGATTCCTAGTTTAAGGTCACGATCTACAATTTTGGTCCATAATGAGTCGATATCACATATTTTAGCAATTTATGCAAGCAAACAACCTTCTAATTGAAATGCAAAACCTAAGTTATATCTTGATATGTTCTACGAATTTTTCGGAAGATGTATCTAAACATATGAAGTGTTGCAGAAAATGAGTTGAAGAAGGTAATGTGTGAAGTTGCAAAACCAGAGAATGCACGTGTTTGGACGGTCCACCAAAAAACATATTGATACACATCGCTTGAAGGAAGGTAAGCTTTCCACTTGAAAACCTCATAATACATGGCAATTTAATTTTCTAAAAATGGTGTAGATTAGATTGTATGGTACTAAATTGTATAGAAAATCTCGTAAATTAAGTTCTTTCATTTAAAATTAGGGTTCAGAGCACACATATTTGTGGTGAGTTTTGGGTCTCTCCTTCTTTACCATCGAATTCGTCATCGTCGAACCTCTCGTCCAGTCAAGTATCACCGCCAGCTTCTCCGCGTTTCAGCCACACGCTCCGCCTAATATGTCTCACGTGCCGGCACGTGAAGGAGCGTGTTTGGACGAAAAATTTTTCGATGAACGTCCACCTGCTCGTAATTCCTCAGGCTTCTTGGTTGTTGGTATTCTCAGTTTTGGGTTTCAGTGAATCTTGGTGTGCAGGTTGGAATTTTTTAATTTCAGCCCTTCATTTGTGATTTTTCAACTCCGTTTTTTATGTGATTGGTTCATTTGTTTGGGGCACAATTTTGTTCTTAGGGTTGCGACTAAAATTGTGTCTAAACCCGTCCCTATTGTGAATAAAATCACCGACGTTAAATTGAATAGTTCTAATATCCTTGGTTGGTTGGAGTAAAACTATTATCATCCACCTCCGTAGTATCGACAAGGACAATATATTACTTGGATTTGGATCCTCTCACATATGATGTCAAAGATAATACTCGATGGGCTTGGTTACATGATGATGCAAAACTGCTCGTTCAAATTCGAAACTCCATTGAGCCAGGTATACTTTCGGTGGCCAATCATTGTGAATTTGTCAAAGAATTAATGGATTACCTAACCTTACAATTTAGACGTACCAATATCTCTCGTATTTATTCAGTTTGCAAATCGTTTCATAGAGGAGAGCAACAGGATAAAAACCCTACGGCTTATGTCATGGAGTTTAACAAGGTTTATGAGGAACTAACTTATCTCCTTCCGAATTGTTATGAGCTTACTAACTGGGTTACGTCCTGAATTTGATGCTTTCAAGAATCAACTTATATCCGAATCAGCCATTCCTCCTCTCCAAAAGACATTTGTCTGATTTCTTCGTAATGAGGAAATGCATTCTCCCGCTCTCGGCACTCATGTCTCAAAATAGTGCCATTGTCAATCGTAGAGGCTTCCAAGGTGGTTTTCATGGCGGACCTCGACGAGGCTCTTGAGGGGGTTCTCGGGGTGGTATTCGAGGAGATCCGACAAATCATGACTATCGGTATCCCGAATCAAAGAAGTGGAGTGTTATTATTGTCATGAATTTGGGCAAGAAAAATCAGAAGAGAGCCCCTCTGCTCATGTTGCATCATTGTGGTCACTATTTCTGTTGAGTATTCTCAACTTACTGAAACAATGAACCCAAATCTTATTTTCACTCTTCACCTTCATAACCTTATTCTCATGTCACTATTGTTGATGGGTCTACTACTCGTGTCCTTGGTTCCGGTTCAATTCGTCTCACTCCTTCTATTTTGTTACATTCTATTATAAGCTTACCTAGTTTTGCATTTAACCTATTCTCTATATTTGCAAATTTACTAAATCCTTGAATTGTAGCATCTCATTCTTTTCGAACCATTTTATTGTGCAAGATCTTTAAATGAAACAGATCCTTATCCTTTGTGAAGGACGTGAATCTGATGGCCTCTATTCTCTGACATCTAAGTCACTTGTTTGCACCCCATCATCCTCCGCACTAGATATGCATTGTCGTCTTGGCCACCTTCCCTCTAGATTTTGAAAAGAATGAATCCTCAGTTTTCAAGGTTGTTATCCTTATTTTGTGAGTCATGTCAGTTTGCGAACCATTGTCGTAGTTTTTTATCTTTTAGAATAAACACGAGGGTTGCGACCCCATTTAGGTTGGTTCATTCTGATGTCTAGGATTCTTGTTTTGTGTCGTCAAAATTTGGTTGTACATATTTTGTTACTTGTGTTAATGATTTTTTTCGTTTCACTTGGATATACGTTATGAAAAGTTCAAAAGTTTTTCAAGATTTTTTGTCATTTAGTGCCAAAATTAAACTCAATTCTGACTACCATTCAAACACTTCAAAGTGATAATGCGAAAGAATTTTTGTCCGCACCTTTTCAGTCTTATTTGCTTGAAAATGGGATTTTGCATGAAACGTCGTGTGTTGATACACCAACTCAAAATGGGATTGATGAATATAAAAGTCGACACCTACTTGAGGTTGGTCAGGCGTTATTCTTTCACATGCATGTTCCTAAAACATGTTGGGTTGATATTGTGTCCACTACTTGTTTTTAATCAATCGAATGCCTGGGCAATAAGATTCCATTTTCTGTCTTCCCAGATAAAATCATTTTCCGTCTACCACCTAAAATTTTTGGGAGCACTTGTTTGTCTGGGATACTAGACCTCATATCATTAAGTTAGATCTCAAGTCTCTCGTTTTTCTTTGGTATTCCAGGGTGTAGAAAGGGTTCTCTCCAGTCCTCGGTCATTATGTCGTGTCTAGGGATGTTAGTTTGAAATGAACACCTTTCATTTTTCCCGACTCGAAAATATCCATCTCCAGAGGATGACTTCTTGGCATATTTTGTTACTAGGCCACCTTCCTCTCCACCTAGGAGCACTTGGCAACCCATTAACACATTTCATAAAATTAAGAGGTCGTTACAGTTTCTAATTCACGTCCATTGCCTACTGCTCCGGTGGAAGATCAGTGTCTAGTCAAACCTCTACACATGCCCCTGAACCAGATAATCTTAATGACCTTACTATCGCGCTTTGCAAAGGTAAGAGATCTTGCACTTTCCCTATTGCTTCTGTTTTGTCTTATGACAACACGTTTACTTCTTCAAGTTCTTTTATTGCCACGCTACACTATCCATATTCCTACATATGTTAGCGTTGCTTTGGCTTATCCTGGGTGGCGTGCTGCTATGATTGAAGAAATGAATGCCTTTGATCATAATGCCACATGGTCCTTGGTGGACTTATCTGTTGGCAAAAAGATAATTGGGTGTAAGTGGGTCTTCATCGATAAAATTAATCGCGATGGCTCTTTGGCACGTCATAAAGCTCAGCTTCTAGCTAAGGGCTATGCTCAGACTTGTGGCACCTATTACTGAGACGTTCTCTCCCGTGGCCAAACTTAATTTGTCAGGTTCCTCATCTCTCTTGTTGCCTTTTCTAACAGGTCTCTGCACCAACTTGACATTACCAATTTGTTTTTCCATGGGTTTTTTCAGGAAAAGGTTTATATGGAGTAACCACCAGTTTGTTGCTCATGGGAGTATGGAAAAGTATGTCGTCTTCATAAGTCACTGTATGGGTTAAAGCAAAGTCCCTAAGCTTAGTTCGACAGATTTAGCTAAATTGTTTAAAATATGGGTTGGTGAGGTATAAATCCGATCACTCGGTATTCTATAGGCGATCAAGTCTTGGGATCATTTTACTGGTGGTGTATGTCAATGATATTGTTGTTACACGGAATGATAATGATAGTATTTCAAACCTAAAACCCTTCCTCCATGAGAATTTTCAAACAAAGGACTTAGGACACTTGAAATGCTTTCTGGGAGTAGAGATAAGATAATGAGAAGATAGAGATTTTCCTTTGTGAGAAGAAGTATGTGCTAGACCTTTTTGGGACAAAACCAATCTGATGACACCAAACACCAAACTTACAGTTACGAAAGAATCACGGTGGCGATTTCATGATCCATAACGATACCGAAGACTTGTGGGGAAGTTGAATTATCTCACTGTAACACGCCGCGACATATCCTTTGCAGTTGGTGTAGCAAGTCGATTTATGTCTTCTCTGACTGTTCGTCATTGGGCTCTTCTTGAACAAATTTTGTGTTACCTAAAGGGGCTCCTGGATGGGGATTGTTTTATGGATGATAGAGTGATCCAAAAGCTAGGACAGTCCAAGCATATTGTGATACTAACTATGCAGGTTGTAAAGATGATAGAAGATTGATACTGTATATTTGAGGAAGCCCCGATATAGTTTCATGGAAAAGCAAGAAGCAAAATGTTGTTTCTCGCTCAGTTGTTGAGACAGAGTAAAGTTCGACGGCTAATTCAGTATGTAAAGTTGTATGGATACATTAGTTACTAAAGGAGCTTGGATTAGAATTTGCTCTCCCAGCAAGCAACACTTTGGTGTGACAACCAAGCAGCAAAACACATTACATCGAGTTTTGCATTTCATGAATGGACCAATAGATGGCCACTTAGTTCGTGATAAGGTCGAAGAAGGTTTCGTCACTACAAGATATATATATATATATATATGTATGTATTTATATATATATGTATTTATATATATATATATATTGTAATCCTCATTGGGTATAATCAATAGCATTACACTTATTACAAATAAGTTAACCGAACCTTTTGTATGAAGTCCTTGTCCAAGCAACCAAATATTACAGGAGGATCATCGGAAGTAGCCACTTTCCCATCGTCACAGAGCTCCAGTACCACCTGATCGTTCAAGAAATTAAAATGAAAAATAGATTTAAATCAATACTGGAATTAGCACGTATCACAATTAATTGTAAATAATGACCAATTGCATGCAAAAAGTTCACTATCATCAAATGGTTAGGCACCCATGCAAATCGAAGTAGCATTTGCCATCTCGATGGACTAATCTAGTTGTTGTTTGCTCGGTAAGAGGTGCCTAAGCTCGTAACCTGTCAGAGAGGTCGGTAGTATTGGGCGGGTAGTTGACGACATGTCAAAGAGATCGATAGCAAATAGAATGTGTGGTGCGACCTGGTAGTTCTTGGGATGTGACAGAGGGGTCGATAGCAAACACGTGGATATGTCAGGATAATGAGGGGAATCCGAAGTCTTTCTATGCCATCCTCAATTCCGAAAGTGGCCTAATATTTTAACCTCCAGTGAACATGGAGGGAATGCCTATAAACTCATGCAAATACTACAGACGTTGAAGGACAAGCAACTTCAATTATGACTTCAAATTTCTCTCAAATTATGGTGATTAATATGTAAAGTGCATCTCAAACGAATACGCCACTTTCTGAATTATAATTAAAACCTCCTACCTAAAAACTTAATGATTAAAGTAGTTGCAAATGAACACATACTTGTTGTTGATCTGGAATCTGCCCCTTACTATCCGTATCAAGAACATACTGACTACAAATCTCATCTTTCCAGACTAGCACCAATGGAGTATTTCCTGATTGATAATGGGCATTCCTGAATGAATCAGACAAAGCAAATCAGGGAAAATGAAGAAAAGAAAAAACCATCTCAACTAAAAGGAAATCTAGAACCCATGGTTTACAAAGATTCTCTGTACAAACTGAAAGTATTGTATATATTAAAGAAGACTACACGCAAAAGGTACATAGAACGTAATGACAAAAATAGAAAGACATAAATGAGCATGGAGAAAAATAGTGGTGGCTAACCATTAAGAAATTATGGGGAAAAACCTTACACGGCATAATGAGTTATAATGTTTAACTAGTACAATACTCGTGTATTACACGGGTGTTGAATTAGAAAGCTTTTGTAAAAAATATTAAATTTTTTATTTTTTAAAAACTAAAATAATTTAATTTTATATAAAACATTACTTTGGGTTTTAATTAAATTGTCAAATTATATTTTTTTAATCATAATATCTAAACACCCGTACATTAAATGAAAATGTCAATCCGCGTTGAATTTTTTTACTTATATCATATAAAATTATAAAATTATCGATATTATTTACTATTACATAAGTACAATATATATCTTAAATGAATAGAAATAATATGTTGATATGTATATACATAAGTGTAGAATATGTTTATTTAATATTAAGCAAAATAGATTAATTTTTTTATTTAATTAGATGTCTAATACATCATCTGTCGTATCAGTCGTGCTTCACAATTTTTTAACTTTATATGTAATTTTAGAATTTATATAAATAGTTATTTATTTTTATTACATTGACAACATACCAACTAGATTTGAAATAAATATCATTTTTAAATACATTGACAACATACCAATTAGATTTGAAATAAATATCATTTTTAAAAAAATACATACCAATTTCTATTACTTTATAATATAATTTATAGTTTTATTTGATATAATTTAATTTAGTTTGATAAATAAATTTAAATTTTATTTATAAGGATATATATTATTGTTTTGTATTATATATATATATATAAATAAATAAATAGTAAAATACAAACGGACTTCATAATATCAATTCAAATGCAACACACTAATTAGGATTTTTTTCTTGACAATATTAACCTTATTTAATAGATGTTATGGGAAACGATTGAGATGGGATGTGAAGAGACACTATGTATTAAATGGAGGGTTAAAAATAGAAAAATATGAACAAAATATCTAAAACGATATTTATTTTATCAATGATCAATTAAGTCAAAGTCAAAGTGACAAATAATAAAAATAGGAGAGAGTATATATTATATATTTTAGTATGACACATGTTACTTGTGCGACTTATATGTGTTATATTATAATAAATTTTCTACCTTATAACATATAACTACATTAAACATAAATATATTAATTGATAAATAATTTTATTTTTTAATTAATTTTAATAAATAATTTATTATTATTATAAAAATAAATATAATTTATTTATTTTATATATACAATATAGATGTCAAATCGAAGCTCATCAAAAGATGATTAATTTGATATATTATATATGTAAAACCGATAAGAAATACAAAAGTTATCAACTTTAACTTTCAAAATATATTTGTAATTCATTGGTTATAATAGGAAATGATATTAAAATATAATTAATACAAATATTAATTTATATCCAAGTATAACTCCAAAGCATGATTTTTTGCCAAATAAAAGCGAAGCATGAGAGTTTGCCACGTAGGCTCGAAATTATATATAGAGGGGATACATAAGAATAAAACAAGATGAGCTGAAAGTAGCCACTTGGAATGAGTGTGATCGGATATAATTGGAAATGTAAAGGTAAATTAAAGATGTCTTTAACAACTTGTAGTCGTGTGTGTATATATATATAGTATATATATATATATATATATATATATTATATATATAGTATATATATATTGGTTTCTTTAATCCTTTTCTTAATTATGAGTTGGCATTAATGTCTTCCTAGCTGAAACCTTATCATAGTTTTCTAATGACTAAGCAGAAGGTGAGAACAATTCTGATTTCATTTCATACAGCCAATAGAATAGTCAACAAATTCTTTTTTTGCAAGTTTTGCAATTTAAATGAACTTCCGTTCTTACTAAGTCCTATTGGTTAATCAATGCATTAAAGAGATTCTCCACACACTTAGCATGTTTGATAACCTTTATATTTCATTCAAACAGCCTGCATTATATTTATTGCAGTAAAGTTTCATGATATGGATCAATAAAAGGTGAAATAACTGCAGTTGCTTCCGAAGAAAAAATTGATGATAAACTGTGTAATAGATGTTAGTCTTTCGAGCTCATCATGATTAAGGAAACAGTTATCAATTAAATCTGCAGTCTTAACTCTTAACTTAATCATCCAACAAAGTGGGATAAGCAGCACATAATTTGCGATACATACGGGTTCACTTATCAATTATATAGCACATGAGGAGATTTCTAACTGAAAGGACAAGTTCCGTGCAACTCCCACAAATCTTACTTGCTTAAAGAAATATCAGATACTAAACATAGAAACCAGAGTTGCTCTGTAAAGAAAATGAAATATTAGAATCCTAAAAAAGAGCTAAAAAAGGAGCTAGTTTAGGAATGCACCGAAACAATGCAGGTCTTCATCTAATACGTTTCACAACTTATAATTCTCATACAGACACAAAGATGACTGCTCCTGCATCAATCAGTGATTATCATACAGCCACAAGTTTGGAAAAAATAAAACACACAAAAAAAAGAGAGAGAGAATGAAAAAAAAAATAAGGATCAACGACATAATGCAACAAAACAAGAGGACTAGAAATATTATTTGCAGTTAAAAGTGTGATCCTATACACCCAGAACGAAACAGTCAGTCAAATGTACCTGCTAACACATTAAATTCTGTGCCTGAGCTTCCAATTAACAGCCAAAAATAGTGCATGTTAGGTGCCATATATATCCCTTGAACTATAAAGCAGCATATCACACAAACCACTATGGAGAACAATCACCCAATTGAGACCCCAAAACTATGTTAAGACAACCATTTAGGATNAATGAGTTTATGATCACTCTAAACAGCTACATTCACGGGCAAGAAAGCGAATCCCATGTTCGACGAAAAAAAAAACTATAATATTATCATATGGCTAAATCATGTAATTTAGAAGATGCAAGAAGAGGCTCACTTGTTGTAGAACAATAGTCCATCTTTCCCATAAGGCACTGGTTCCCTATAAGCTGCTTTTAACCCCTCCTGATCACAATTATATACGAGAACTGCCCTGAACCTATATCTATGGTAAGTTGAGGGATCATCACAAGCCCCCGACTCGACAAGCTTGCTGTTTAACCAGAAAAATCGGAATTCAGCAGTGCACTCGTACAATGACATTCCCGCCCAGCACACCATGTCAATTACATAGTATATCTGATCAGGCTGCAATCCATGTGAAAATTTTGTAACCAATGACCATCATTACATATCTCCAAGAAAACAAAGGGACAGGAAGAGATTAGTACCTCATGAAAAATGCAATCAAGTATACAATAAGATTGGCCCGAACGGGAACTGTTGCTGACCCTGGAACCATTGGGTAAAGCTGAAGGAAATCGATGAAGCAAACTTCCGTTACGTAACCTACTAACCGTTGTCCCATTGGATGCAACCACAAAACAACGTTTTCCAGCCGGCCTAGCACATACATACCTGTACAAAGGGCAAAAAGTGGCATCATACGCATATAAGATGATAGAGATTAGGAAAGTAAATCATGGGAAGGAAAGAGAATGAAATAAAATAACACACAAATCAAGGGATTGACTGGAATCATGGGATCCTACTTGGCATGGAAGGCTATCATCAAATTGTTATCATATTTCTTCTTTATTAACTATTACCTTAAATAAATAATATGCTTATAAAATGGTTGTGACGATGTCATGATGAGGTATTGAGAGAAATAATATTGTTTGTCAGCTTTCTAGCTTCGGCGGGATTATTTCCCGAGGAGAACTCCGTGTTTTTGGACAACCTTGTGTTCTTTTTCATTGTTTTTTATTTAATAATATTCAGTTTCTTTTACATTGGCCCTTTACTCCTATCATAAGATCTTAAAAGGTTATTTACTAGTCAACACAGGCAGTCTTGAGGGTCTAACACTCAAATGCACCATTATTACTTCAACTGTTGAGAATGCTAGGAGGATGAAAATCATCAGGATGACCTTGGTACCACTAAGGAAGAGAATAAGGATTACAGATACTGTTCTTATTTATATAATTTTGATACCGTGATAGCTATATATATTAGGCATCGGATCAATAGTGTGTACAGGAAAGTATGATTCTCTTTTTGGCCCTTTGGCTAGCAGTTCATGAAAAGTGAAGTTGTATCCTCGGCTGCTATTGCAGATTTTATTACATGTCAATAAAATTATGCCTTCAGTTGGGCTCTTTACTCCATCAATTTGTCCGAACTGCCCTTCTCTAATCCAGAAATTACACTTTTAGAGTCCTGCGTCGAAGAGTTGGAGAAGGGACAACTTTCCACGACTGCACACAAAACATCAAACCAGAGCAAGCATAACATGCTGCTGTACTTGGAAAACACACCGCTATACTCGATGAGATCCAAGCAATTGGTGATTCGCTTCAGACTTCCCACAAATGTAAAGATCATCTGAAAGTAGTAGTTTGATATCAGATCCCAATAGTGGCAAATCCATGCTGATCACACTCCCCCAGCCTCCATCCATTCACAAAACTCTCAACCTTCAATGGACTCAAACCTATTTGTTTGGTTAGCCTGGGCAGATCAATATTTTACAGGGCATAAGGTCCCGAATACACAAAAATTTCCAGTTGCATTCATTACAATGGAAGGCCCATCACTTCCCTGGATGTGTTGGTTGCAACGCCAATCACCCACTCTTACCCAGATATATTTGCAAGAGGAATTTCTCGAACAAATCCAGGAGAATGGTCGGCTTCTTTACAGCAACATGATACGATGAATGTTCATACAGGGGAATTGTAGCCCATGTTTGAGATTTAACACCACAGCTAAAACTAGGATTCCATCTCAGCGGCAAGAATGATGGGATTTAAGATCGCCCCCGACCATATGACACAATCAACCTTCATACAACGACAAGTGTTGCTCACGTAATCAAGCTTGAAAATGCTTATACCAGTTCCAGATTTGATGTTGAACTGACCACCCAAGACTAACATCAAAGGTGATGGTAACCTCAAACACAACCGTTTCAGTCACTTTCATCTTTCCAAATTAAAACACCACTACAACCTTTTAATCAGGAACGGCGATGCAATATTCTCATGCAGACTTTATAGATATCAAGGCCATAAAGCCTCTGCTTTAGGTGTAAACACTAAACATAAATCACTGTGCGTCGTGTAAACACTAAACATAAATCTCAGCTCCATTATGTTAGAAGTTAATCATCCACAGTTCGGATAATAGCTTACAGAGAAACAACAACCAAAAAAAAGGGCATACCAATCGGTGTTTAGTCGCTCAGGGACATCAATCATCCACTCCGGTAGCATGAGCTGCTTTGCAAACCATCGTCGGGCTTCAGGCCCTCTCAGCCTCGCCGCTTGTCGAAGATCAAAATCTTTGGCATGTTCTTCGGGCTGTGGCAGTGCTTCAAAATCGGGCTCCGCAGAATCGTTTTGTAGAGATAATATAGATTGGGCCAAACAGCGGGCCTGGTGTTGGGCGTCGCGACGATTCTGGGCCTGCCGCTGCAGAGACAGCTCGCGCCGCCGCTGTTGGTCAGAGATCGCCGCCCGTTTGAATGGACGGCGAAAATCGTGCGGCGCCATCACCCTTGCAGAGATTTTAGAACGGACAACTGTCCTGTTGAAGCTATTCACGGTTTCGATTTCCAGGTAATGAAATTGAATTCAATTTTATGATTTTCGGAAAAGTTCTTATATACTACTTAAGGCCATGTTTGTTCCATTGGGTTCACTCACAAAAATGTATGTTACCGTAAGAACACCACAATGTTTTTGGATCTCTTAACAAAAAATCACATGCCACATGGAAAATAAACTTAGTCTATAAAAAAATACTTCCCAATGCAATTAAAAATGGACATGGTCTAGCTTATGTGACAATAAAAAAAAAGAAACTAAGTCCACACTTGGGTCTATTTTGGACTCAAGTACAAACTCAAACACTCATCATTTGTTCTTAATTTAATTTTTTTTTAATAAATAAAATATACTAGAGCATTTCTATTGGTTGTCATGTATGATAGACCTAGTCTCTTTATTTTGCATTGCAAAGTTTTTGAGTTTTTTTACTTGGGTTTGTTCATGTCATTTAAAACTCAAGTCCAATTATATGCCACATATACAAAAAGAGACTCAAAGCATTGTGGATGCTCCAAGAAATTGACTCAAGAAAAATAAATACTCCAATGCAAGTGCAATTGGACCGTGTCTTGCTTATGTGGCAACAAGAAAAAGAGACTCGGTTTAGCTTTAAATTTATTTTAGACTCAAGTAAAGACCTAGTCTTTGCATTGGAGTTAAATTTGACACTTTTATATATTTTTGTCCATATATCCTAGACTTAGGTCTATTTACATGTCACGTAAGCACAATTAGACCCAAAGCATTGTAGATGTTCTTACGTTTTTTTGGGTTATTTGCTCCACTACNATGTAATGTTGTATGTTGGAGCTTGTTGTAGCAAATATTATGAGTTGGTCTTTTTTTTTTCTCATTATTTCGATTTTGTTGAGGAACTTAACCCAAATATTGAATGCTACATTTGAAGGTTGTAATTTTGTAGTATGTTTAATTTTATTCAATGAACCACCAATTTTACTGAATCAATTTTATTCAATGAACCACCAATTTTATTGAACCATCATAATATTTTTTCTTGCTTAAATTTATAAAATGTTTTAATTTCAGTGAAATAAATGATTGTTAGAGGATTTATTAAAAAGAAAATGAAAAAAAAAATTGATAGTTAAAATTTGTTTTTTTAACTTTTTTATATAATTGTTGATTTTATATGCTTGCAAAAAAATACTACAAAATTACAACATTAAAATAAACATGTAAAACTTTGTTATATTCTTGTTAATATGAAACATACTACCTCAAGCTTGTGATTGCATGGTTCATTTTATATGTTCTTTTAACACAACATTTTTTATTTTGGTCAAAAAAAATTTTCTCAATTAATTTTTATCCTACAACTAGTGCGATACCCGTGCGATGCACGGGCTAGTTTTATTAAGGTAAGCATTTATATTTGGATGATTGGAAGAACGTAAAACGTTTGTATTGGAATAAAACAAAATGTAACTTATATTATTAAACACATCCTTCTACACAACATTATTTGTTTGATCTTTGGTACATCGTCGATCGCCACAAATTATATTAGGATTCAAGATAGGCTTAAATAAATCAATTAAATTATTTAGCAGGATATATATGATATGATTTATACTGCTTTTATGAAGATTGCATAGCCAAATATAACGGAGATTTTAAAACGTCTTTCTTGATAATCTATAGCGTTATTATTTTAAAATTGCAACTTACTTAATTTAAGGAAGGGAAAAATTGTGTAAGTGTACGCAATCAATTTCAAAATTGTATTCTAGATATGATTAAACAAAATCCAAATTTTTATGATGTTCCAATCCGATTTTATTTTGGATTTCAAATTAATATTATTTGACTCTGTTTTATGTTTAAAAAAAATCTAAAATAAAGAAAGTAGTAGCCAAATGATAAGAGATTTTTAAATTTTAATTTTCAATTTAAAATTAGGTCTGATTTATATGCAATCCATTTTTTTTAATAAACATAATCTATTACAATTAGGTAAAGATACATGTTATAGTATTTTGCCTAATTTGAAATTCCCGATTTTATGGTAAACAAATTTTTTAATAAAAAATGAGAGAATTTTTTGACTTTTACAAAATTGTTATGCCGAATTTTACCTAAATTAACCCGATTTCTATGCAATTCGATTTTCTTAATAAACAATTGGTTTGTTGCAATTTGGAAAATATATATGTCATAGTATTTAACCTAACTCGAAATCTCGATTTTATGGTAATCAGTTTTTTTCTTTAATAAAAAATGAGAAAGAATTTTGACTTTTGCAAAATTGTAAGTATCAGTCAAAATTTACCTAAATTAAATCCCCAAAACCCATGAGTTTAGTGTGCATATATAGCTGATCGATTTTTTGAAAATAATTTAAAAAGAAAATTCAAAAAATGCCGAAAATAGAATACAATAAATGATGGTTGACTTTTCTTGTTATTATTTTTGGTAAATAGGTTGGCTATCTCTTTCTCTCTCTCTCTCTCTCTCTCTCTCTAGCAACTACTAACCTAGCAACTACAAAGAACTAACCTAGCAACTACAGACAACTAACCTAGCAATTACAGAGAACTAGCCTATCAACTACATAGAACTAACCTAACAATTACAGAGAACTAACCTAGTTGGAAGGTTAGTTGTCAACGGTCAACGCCGGAAGTTAACGGATTTCACCCGACGTCAACGCCGGAAGTCAACGGTCAACGCCGGAGTCAACGAATCAAAATAATATTTAAATAATTAAAATAATAAAATGAAAAGGGTAAATCTTGGCCACACATGATGTACCAAATCTTGTGGCTAAAAATGAGTCTCACGTCCTCACTTTAAATAAGTGGATGCATTGGAACCGGTCCCTATATATATATATATATATATATATATAGATGGTCCAATGTACTCATGTATATTCTCGTGTTATTTAACAATGAATGTTGTTCGTAGACAAATAACACAAGAGCAATCCCTATACAATGCCCGTTGGACAAAAGCGATCGACAATTTGTTCGTGACCTCCTAATGGACTGCCATGTTGTTGGTGACTGGATGCATGGGCTCTCGCTATCTATGAGATCCAATTTTGTTGTCGTCAATTGAAATACAACTCGGCGTAAATTTTTTTGTTGATGAGATCGATGAGCGTTTTGATTTCCTTTTGAAGCGTTACACGATTTTCAGTTGGATGCTCCATAACATTGTTTACGTCATTATATCCCCTCCAACGTATTGACTGTGTTGTAGCAAAATATATTTTTACCGAGTACCGAATCAAAAGATTCATTCCTTGAGTCGATCTCTCGAGGAAGGCAATTCGAAATCTAGAAATGGTGTTGATAACACATAAAAGAAAAATAAATCCTAAACACTCTAATGAAGATAGTGGTTTTTAATTATAAACTACGAAAGAAAACTCAAACAATGCAAAATCGAACTAAAAAGCAAAGACTAAGATCAAATTATGATAAGAAGCTAAGGAGTCGGGGATGATGATTTTCTAACCAATGCAAATATCAAGCTAAGATCATTCGGTTAAATGATTCGAACAACCTAACGTCTAGAGGTAGTCCTCAATAACTCTTCGTAACAAGAGGGTAAATAGACGGTAAATCACACAAATCACTCAACACATAGACAATACGTTTTCGAACAAGTCTATTTCATGCGAGCCTAGATCGATCAACTCCTCCCCTTTCGGTTCTAAGAATTGATTAATTATCCTAGACGATTGTTAATCTACTAGTTCATTGGATTTAAACACATCACAAAAGAATGAATCATATTCAATTGGAAATCAATTACTAATCGAAGTGTCACTCTTCGACAATATTCAACATTCAATGTACGAGAATTATAAACCCTAGTTAAGAACAACTCGCATAAATTGAACGATCAACAAGCATGATAATCACAATTAAATTCTAAACATCATCATCATCCCCTATCCCTAACGAACGAATTAGTTACTCATATGGAATTCAACACAATTCTTCTCAAGAACCCAAGCATTCATATTCAAGGATTAATTAAAAAGGAAAACTTACGATTAATAGAGAACCAAGAGTTGAATCCAATGAACAATCCAAATCCAAAACAAGAGCAGGAGTTTTTCAATCTCCAAATCGAATCCAAAGTGAGAAAACTAAGAGTGGAATATGTTTTCTAGAGAGAAAAACATAAAAAAACAAGTTTGGAGTCGAATAATGAGCCCTAGGTCCAAAATCTGCTATAAAATCCCGCTTCTCGATTTTCGCGCCCCTAAGTCGCGACTCGCGACTTCCACTTTCCTCAGGTCGCGAGTCGCGACTTCTCGCGAGTCACGCATCGTCAAGATCTTCAATTTCTGGGGTTTGGTCGCGACCTCACTCGCGAGTCGCGACTGCAAGTCGCGAGCACGACTCGTGCTCGCGTACTACACCTTAAGGCTCTGTTTTTCTCGCGAGTCGCGACTTTCATCTCGAGAGTCGCGACTTTCGTCTCACGAGTCGCGACTTTGCTCTCGCGAGTCGCGACTTTGGACTGCACTGTGTTTGTCCCATTTTTGTGTCTTTATTTCATATTTATTTTCTTTTTGTTTTCCCCCATTTGTAGGTTTCTCGCCGCTTATTTGGTCCATTTCATTCGTTTTGTGTTTTTGCCTTTAGTTTATATTTTTGTATCTTTTTGTCGTGTTTTGCTTCGTGTTTTTTCGTGTTTGTGTTTTCAGGAGGTAGGTGATGCCAGTTGAGGTTAGGATTGCGTGTGCCAAGACTGTGATATCGAGAATTCCCGTGGCCGAGCCCAGAAGATGACGAAGAGGACTAAAAAAAATGGACAGAAAACGCGCCCAGAAATTCTCGCGACTCGCGACCCGCGAGAAAAACTGGGGCTAAAAGGCAGTTGCAAGACGATGTCGCGCCTCGCGAGAACGTGTCGCGACTCGCGAGAAGGAGTCGCGAATCGCGACCCATGTCGCGACCAACCCCAGAAACGTATCATTTTGAAGACCTGCGACTCACGAGGAAGTCGCGACTCGCGACTTTACCGGTGCGAATTTCGAGGACGGGATTTTTAATGCTGATTTCGATCCTAGGATTCATTATTCACCTTCAGACTTTGTTTCTTACGTTCT